GCCGTGGCTTTGGCGCTGAGTTTGGGTCCTGGGCTAAGCCAGCGTCCATGCGTAGCAGGTGTGGTAACATTTTAGTTGCTGTGCGCTGCTCTCAGAGCCAGGACTGTTCTTTGTAGCAGGCAGGATGAGCTAGGAAAAGAGCCCAACCGTCTTCATCTTGCTTCCCCTTTAACTCTCAGAGCGGGGCTGGAGATGCCCAGGAAAAGGAAGTGGGCCACCACCTCCGATTGTTTCTGTTGGCAGCAGGCAGGGAAGCGGAGTGGTTTCCTCTGCAGGCCCAGATTTGATAGCTGAGAGACCCCGGCAGGCCGGCCGGGCCGGGCTGTCCTCATGGCCCATGGAGGAATCAGACCGGCGTGTTGTGGGGTTTCGACACCGTGTGGAGGACGATCCGTATGCAGTAAAACACACACATTCTGCTGGGCGTGGGACGCACAGCTGTGATCTCGAACTCTGGCAGGCTGAGCGGGAGGACGGCAAGTTTGAGTTGAGTCTGGGCAACTTAGCGAGACCATCTCAAAATACAGGAGTTTATTTTTTTGGTACTGGGGATCGAACTCGGGTCCTTGCATTTGTGGGGCAGGCGGCGGAACCACTGAGCTAAATCTCCGGCCCAAAATGCAGAACTTTAGGAAGAGGGCTGGGGATAGAGATCAGTGTGAGGGTCCTGGGGTCGGTCATTCCTGTCGCCCCGAGCACGGAGCTCACGGGCACAGGCCCGGTTGAGTTCACACCGACGGCAGTGTGTTTCCCACGCAACCAGCGCCCCACACGACAGAGCATTTCTGTCACCGCCCCTTCTGCCCCGCACCGCGCGTAGCTCCTTCTGGGCCCTTCTTCTCGCTGCACCCCGGGTCCCCCCAGTCGGCCGTTGCCAGCGGTCTGTCGCGTCTCCGTCGCGCTGCACCTCCCGCCTTGGCGCAGACTTCCCCCATCCCGACGTTTCTGAAATAAAAAGGGTTGGGCATCAAAGGGGCAGCAGATTAAATGCTATTTCCCCTTTCGTGCTCCTGGGGGAGTCCTAATGGCTGCAGGTTGTTCCTCCCTGCCAGAAGAGGCCTCATTAGATAGCAAACGGGGTCTGCAAGCAGAGAATCTGGGAGTCTTGGCTCCGCCCCTGCCCCATCCATGAAGTGGGGACCAGAGTCTCCTCAGCTCCTGCGTGCATTAGTGGCCTGGGATGAGGGTCAAGTGTCAGCTACTGCACAGCACTGGGAGGACGGCTGTGGCTCATTAGACCGCAGACTGGGGGAATGGGATGGGAGGGCAGCGGGCGGCCACGGCACGGGGCACTGCGGAGCCCACAGGCCGCTGGAGCCTTGCCGGGGAAGCTGGGTGACTCGGTAGTGGGGGCTTCCGGAAGGAGAGCACTTGCTGTCTGCAGTCCGGCAGGACTTTGGGGGGCTCGCTGCCAGCCGGGACCATCCGGGAGGGAGCAGGGTTCCGGGAATGCCGGCACCTTTTCATGTGGTTTGCAGTCCTGGCTGGTGACCTTCCCGTGTCCCCTTGCTTTGCAGATCAACGAGCTGAGCAATGTTCCTGTCCCGGTCATGCTCATGCCGGATGACTTCAAAGCCTACAGCAAGATCAAGGTGGACAATCACCTCTTCAATAAGTAAGTGGCTTGGGGGCTTGGAAGGGGGCAGTGCCCAGAGTACAGGACTGACAGACGGTGGGGGGCTGTGCTCTGTGCCTGTCCCTGCCCTGTCTTGTCGTCACCTCTCTGATTGGCTGCCGGGCACTGTCCCTTGGGGCCTGTGGCTGGGCTGTGACAGCTTGGTGCTCCAGGCTGGGCTTGGCGCTCAGGGGCGCCACCCAGAGTTACTGTCCATCTCTGTCCCTGGGTTTCTTGCATGAAGGTGTCTTGTCTCTCCGTTGCTGGAGACTCCTGCATCCGTTTGTCCACTCTCCGGGCGTCCCTGGGAGCTTTTGCCGCCCACTCTGCTCCCCTGCGCCATCCCCGGGGCTCCCTCCTCCCCATGGTCCTGTGGTCCACAGCCCTCTTCACCTGCCTGGACTGCCAGCCGGGGGAAAGCTGGCTCAGAACGTATCTCAGAAGCCAGCCATGGTGGGAAGATTGCTTCAAGTTCCAGGCCAGCCTGGGCCACACGGGAAGCCCTGTTTCATACAACAAAAACAAAATGCTCCAACAAATAAAAAACTCGAGAACATATACTGCCAACCACAGTAGTAGCATCTCGCTCTAAAACCCTCTGTTCCTGTAGCTGCCATGTGCTAAGTCGTCCCCTAAGGAAGGAGAGGCAGCCCTGGACCCAGGCAGGAGGGCAGGCTCTGCCCATGGGCACTGCACCGTGGTCTCGATCTGCTGAAGCTCTGCCTTCACGGCTTGGATGTAAAGGTGGGGAAGTGGAGCCAGGCTCAAGGGCTCAGGCCTGCAGTCTTAGCACAGGAGGCTGAGGCAGGAAGGTCTTACGGTTGAGGCCAGCCTGGCCTACTTAGCAAGACACTGTTTAAAGTTTTTTTCAAAAGAATTTTTTTTAAAGAGCTGAGATGTAGCTCAGTGGTAGAGCAAACCTTGGGTTTGAGCCCCAGAATTGCTAATCAATCAATAAGTAAAATGGGAATTGGGGGCCCTTGTTCCAAGCCGATTCTGCCCGCTCCCGGGAGCCTGGGACTGACTTACGGAGTGATTGGGAAGTGTGGATTGGCCCCGCAGCCAGCCAGCCAGCAGGGCTTTGTAAAGAAGGGATCCAGGCCGGGTGTGGTGGCCACCAGTGATCCTGCTACTCCCAGCTGCTCTGGAGGCTGAAGCAGGAGGGTCCCAAGCTCAGGGCCATTTCACTGAGGATGTTGCTCAGTGCTGCAGAACTGGTGTGGCATGCGCAGGCTCAGGGGTCCCCCCCCAGCAAGCGAAAAGGAAAGCCCAGAAGCAAGCAGACGGCTCACAGGTAGGGGAGCCGGGCCAGGGGCAGGCACCCAGCCTCGGCTCCGTTCGTCCCCAGGGAGAACCTCCCCAGCCGCTTCAAGTTCAAGGAGTACTGCCCCATGGTGTTCCGCAACCTTCGCGAGCGCTTCGGCATCGACGACCAGGACTACCAGGTAGGCCGTGGGTCCCAGGCCAGAGGGGCACCAGGGAGACGGAGGAGGTGTCGCTGTCCTCATGCTGCAGCTCCCCGCCCGTCACTCCAGCCCCAGGCTGGGGTCCCTGTCCAGAGGAGGGCCAGCGAGGCTGCCGCTGTGCCCGGCCCAGGCCGCAGGCCGCTGTCCTCTGTGGTTTGACTGTGGAGCTCACGGGTGCCAACAAGTGGAGGCCCTTAAAGCGAGCCAGGCGGAGTGGTGCGGGCAGGCTTCAGGCAGTGTGAGTCCTCGCCAGGGCCGAGTCACTCAGGAGCCCACCCCGCCCTGCTGGGAGGGCGTCAGTGAGCCCTGGTGCCGGGCCAGGCGAGGGGACGTGGGGACACTGACCAGGATGGGGTGGGAGCAGGAGCCTGGGCCTTTGCCGCAGCCCCTCTGAGAGCCGTGCCCGGCTGGGAGCCCACGGCGTCACCTTGTCGCAAGCCCACATTGTGGGGCATCTGCCTGCCCCTCATTGTCTGCATCTTGGCCCTCAAGGCCTTGGGCGCCTGACTGGGCCCAAGCTGGAAATGAGGGCATCGAGGCTGCTGCTCAGGGAGGAGGCTGTGGAGGTGAGTCAGAGTCGGAAATGGTGCCAGAGCTGGGATGGCGCACGGAGGGACCGGTGGGGAGAGGGGACCTCCACAGCCACTTGGTGTCTCTGCTCTGAGGACGCCGCTTTGAAGGTGCTCCTTTAGTCTTGCTCCTCTGCCAAGGGACGAGCAGAGCCCCTCAGGCCTCAGACTTCACCTCCCAATGAAAGTTGCACTGTCCTTCACGGAGTTTGAGGAGGTGTAGGAGTGAACCCAAGGCTGCGTGCAGTGCTACATGCCTGTAATTTCAGCACTCGGGAAGCTGAGGCAGGCAGATCTTGAGTGCAAGGCCTGTAGGCCAGCCTAGGTAACACAGTGAGACTCCGCCTTAAATGAATGAGATTAGGCTTCTCGGTGAGAGAGGAGGAAAGGGCTTGGCGTTTCTTGTGACTCAGTGTATTTGGTGGCAGTGGGGTCTCCCGGGGATCTATTCACTGAATACCTGCCCTGGTCCACTTGGTCCTTCGCTACCTGCTTGAGGAGGAGTGGAGACAGCAGGGTGCAGGGGGCCACAGGTGGAGGTGAGGGCCACCTCTTGCTGCAGGAGGGTTTCCAGTGCCTGTCACGACGGGGTCCATGGGTTGTGTCCGCTTGCTCTGTCTGAGCGTGGTCTGTTACACCCAGGAGATGGGGGCTCTGAGGGCGGAGGAGAGGCCGGCCCAGGGTTGGGAGGGCCCCAGCTGTGAGGCCAGCAGTTTGGGGGTGCTCCCTGGACAGAGGGCACAGAGGCAGGGTCAGGAGCCCGCTTGGTGCTGTCTGGGATTGGGGTGGGCTTAGGGGCAGCTCTCAGGGAGGGGAGTGTGGGGCTCCCTGGGAGTTGGGGTCCTGGCTGGTGCAGCCGGCGCCTGGGAGGGTGCAGAGTCCAAGCCAGCGCTGCCGTCCTTGGTCCCTCAGAACTCGGTGACGCGCAGCGCCCCCATCAACAGTGACAGTCAGGGCCGCTGTGGCACGCGATTCCTCACCACTTACGACCGCCGCTTTGTCATCAAGACTGTGTCCAGTGAGGACGTGGCCGAGATGCACAACATCCTGAAGAAATACCACCAGGTACGGCGGGCTCCGGGGGCGACCCCCGTCCACCCCCACCAGAGCAGTGGTGACGGGAGCTTCCGGTCCTGGGTCGCACAGGGGCCTGGGGCTGGCTTACCACTGCGGCCCAGTGGCGGGAAGGCTCCTGATCCGCCTTGGAGGCCGCAGCCCCCCCTTCCGCCTCCCTCCCAGCTCATCGTGGAGTGTCACGGCAGCACCCTCTTGCCACAGTTCCTGGGCATGTACCGCCTGACCGTGGATGGCGTGGAGACCTACATGGTGGTCACCAGGAATGTGTTCAGCCACCGGCTTACCGTGCACCGCAAGTACGACCTCAAGGTAAAGCTCCGCTTCCCGGCTGCACCTGACCGGTCTGGAGAGCCAAAGGCCCTGTGGGCGTGGACAGCGGCTCTGGAGTCCACACGCAGAGGTTGTGGGGACCAAAGTCACTTGAAGTCCAGGTGGTGGTGAGGAGAGGGTATTGCAGCCCTAAGTAAGTGTCCCTCACCTAGGAGGCGGCCACTCTCAACTCAGGCAGTGGGACAGGGACGGGCCGGCTGACACGTGCACCTGGAGCCCCTGGAGTGGCAGTACAGGTGCCGTCTACAGAGCACACACTGAGCCGGGGCGCCTCCCACTGCCGCTGTCCCCTCCCTCCACGCAGACGTGTGGTTTGCAGCACCTGGGCCCTCCGAGCCCTTCCCCACCCAGGGCCCCTCCCCACTATCTGAGGCCTGCCCAGTCCACTTCCGAGTGTCGCTGTCTCCATCCTGCGCTAGCTGGCACCGTTGTCCTTGCTGGGAGTGAGTGATGGTTTTGTAGCCACTGCTTCCTGTCTGCATCCCTGTCCAGAAGAAGCTTCCAAGCTGGACGTGCTGGGGCACGCTGCGGTCGCAGCACTCAGGGGGCTGAGGCAAGAGGATTGCCAGGGGTTCAGAGCCATCCTGGGCTACACAGTGAGTTCAAGACCAGCCTGGACTATATAGTGAGACCCTGTCTCAAAAGCAAAAAAAAAAAAAGAAAGAAAGAAAAAGGAGGAGAGTCCCTGGGCAAGGGCAGGCACCACAGATGTCCCCACCCGGCACACTGTTTGCCAAGCACTGGCCGTGTCCCTTGGGCATTCAGCACTGGGAGTGGCTGCGCCAGGGGGTGGACAGGTCACTGCCCTGGCTCCTCCGTGCTCCTGACTGCCCACTCTGCTCAGCTGTGGTGGCATCTTCTGATGGCTCTTGTCCTTGTAGGGCTCTACTGTCGCCAGAGAAGCGAGTGACAAGGAGAAGGTACGCTGGCATGGAGCACGTGGCAGGGTCACTGGGGTCAGAAACATCCGTGGCTTCCTGTCCCTCCCCTTCGGCAGCCCCCAGCCTGGCTCCGAGACACCCAGCTTGTCGCCACTGGCCCAGGCATGGCTCTCCAGCCTTAATCCCACCCTGCCCAACTTCCTCCTAGCCCTGCGGGGCAGCCAGGCTCCGCGTCCGAGTCCAGTGTGATAAGCTGGCGGCCATCTGAGCCCTGGCAGAGGCAGCTTGCTGGAAAGGGCCCTTGCTCTGTCCTGTGTCCCACACAGCCCTGTGTTTGCTGTCCCCGCCCGCCCGCCCAGCACCCGGGCCCGTGGCTCTAGACTGTCCCGTGGGCTGGCTCGGCCC